TGAGCCCAGGAGTTGGAGGTTGCTGTGAGCTGTGATGCCACAGCACTCTACCCGGGGAACAGCTTGAGGCTCTGTCTCAAATAAAAAAAATTAAAAAATTAAAAAATACAAACTATTAAGAAATGAGTATAATTGTGATAGATGTGTTACTTAGTTCAATGTAAGCATTTCATATTGTATATCAAAGCAGTACCCTGAACCCCATAAACGCATCAATGTACAAAGTTACAATGTAATAAAAAATAATTCATAAAAAAAATTTTTAAATAAATAAAAGTTTTATGGAGACATAATCGTGCCCTTGTATATGTTTGTCCACAGCTGCCTTTGTACTAATACTGCAGAGTTGGGCAGTTGTGACAGAGACCACCTGACCTATAAGCCTAAAATATTCACTATCACCAACCCAGTGGATGACACTCCAGACTCTCAGGAACTGGTCACCTACACCAGTGCATGTTCTAACCCTCAGAAGCCTCCCAGCTGGCCAGGCACAGTGGCTCACGCCTGTAATCCTAGCACTCTGGGAGGTTGAAGTGGATGGATTGCTTGAGCTCACAAGTTCAAGACCAGCTTGAGCAAAAAAGCAATATTCTATCTCTACTAAAAATAGAAAAACTGAGGCAAGATTGCTTGAGCTGAGGTGGAAGTTGCTGTGAGATATGACACCACAGCATTCTACCCAAGGCAACAGCTTGAGACTCTGTCTCAAAAAAAAAAGAAGAAGACACTCGGCACCTATGGCTCAAGCAGCTAATGCACCAACCACATACACCTAAGCTGGTAGGTTTGAATCTAGCCTGGGCCCGCCAAACGGCTATGACAGCTGCAACCAAAAAAACAGCCAGGCGTTGTGGCAGGCACCTGTAGTCCCAGCTACTTGGGAGGCTTAGGCAGGAGAGTTGCTTGAGCCCAGGAGTTGGAGGTTGCTGTGAGACGTGATGCCATGGCACTCCACCCAGGGAGACAGCTTGAGGCTCTGTCTAAAAAAAAAAGAAAAAGAAACCTCCCAGCTGAGCCACGCCAGGCCAAATTTCCAGCCTGATACCTCGAACAATCAGCTGCAGCAATCTGTCCCCTCACTGGGGCCACCTTGTTCACCTAACTTAGACCCAGAGGTCCCAGCATGACTTAAAACTCCAACACCAGCATGCATTCTCTGTGCCTTCCTCTCACACCAGGACACTTCACACAAGCCCACACCACCCCCATCTCAACCAACTCCCATCTCATGGAGAACACAGAAGGCCCCAACATCCCACACCTCTCTGCTCTACATCCAGCACTGCCTTCCTTCCATATAGTGGCCCTGACCTGGGCTTCTAACCTCCATCACCTGAACACAGATCCTCTACTCCCACACCCTCAAGGACCTTATTCCAGACTCACAACTACCCACAGGCTTACCAAATTCCTCCCTCTCAGCTGTAATGATCATTTGGGTCAACTCTACAGCCTGCAATAATGGCTCTCTCATCTTAAAATTAAAAAATGAAAAGAAACGTTCTCCAAACCGCGCTCCCCAAAATATCCTAACTACCTCTCTTTCTCCAGGATAACACAAACCCCCACAGGGTGTCCTCCTAAGTGCTGTCTTCCTTCCCACCTCCCACAATGCCCTGGAATTGGCTCCAGTGACATCTCTGTCCTTTCTGTCAAGGTCACTGCTGACACCTACAGCGCCAAACTCTGTGGCCAGTTCTCCATCCCACCAGCCTGGTTGACTCCCCTCCCCCACACCTGGCTCAAAAAAAAAAAAAAAATGGGCTCATCGCCTGTAGCTCAGTAGCTAGGGTGCCAGCCACATACACCAGAGCTGTGAGTTCAAATCCAGCCAGAGCCTGCCAAACAACAAGAAGAACTACAACCAAAACACAGCCGGCGTTGTAGCCTCCCAGCTACTTGGGAGGCTGAGGCAAGATAATTGCTTAAACCCAAGAGTTTGAGGTTGCTGTGACCTATGATGCTACAGCACTCCTTTTTTAGAGACAGAGTCTTACTTTATTGCTCTCAGTAGAGGGCTTAGGCAATTCTCTTGCCTCAGCCTCCAGAGTAGCTGGACTACACACACCCGCCACAACACCCAGCCATTTTTTTTTTGCAGTTTGGCCAGGGCTGGGTTTGAATCTGCCACCCTCAGTATACAGGACCGGCATCCTACCCATTGAGCAACAGATGCCACCGATGCCACAGCACTCTATCCAGGGCAACACAGTAACACTCTGTCTGAAAAAAAAAAGTTAAACCCAAACTTCTGGCTTTCCCCAACAGATCTGCTCTTTCCATAATTTTCTTCGGCTCAGCAAGTTTGGAAATTCAGTTTTTAAAACTGTTTGGGGCTCAGTGCCTGTGGCTCAAGTGACCAGCCACATACACCTAAGGTGACAGGTTCGAATCCAGCTCGGGCCCGCCAAACAACAATGACGGCTACAACCAAAAAATAGCCAGGCGTTGTGGCGGGCGCCTGTGGTCCCAGCTGCTTGGGAGGCTGAGGCAGGAAACTCGCT